CGTGTGTGCTCCGTGTGTGTACGAGCTGTTTGTACTGATCATGCTCGAGGGATGGTTTTTGGTTCCCAGTGGGGTCAGAGCAGAGGCACAGGCTCACTGACAGCCCCAAATCCCCCAAAATCCCCCAAATCTCCTCTGAAGGTGTCACCAATGTGCCCCATCCCGCCAGGGACATCCCCGAGCCCTGGGAGATGCTACCATGACCCAATATGGGTTTTTTTCCCCCAATCCCAAAGTTCCCAGACCATTTCTCCTGCCGGGATCCCTCTGGCAGCCACARGGAGCAGGGGGCAGTGACATCCCAGCCTGGCTGTCCCCCACCCTGTCCCGCTGTCCCAACCCCAGCCTGCCTTCCCGTTGTCCCCATCCCAAATCCCCTGCTTCTTCTTTTCCGCCAGTCTAGTTCCAGCTCCATGTCAGGTGGCACCAAAAAGGCCAGAAATTGCCCCAAAAATGAGCACAGCCCGAGGGCAGCAGAAGGGGGGATGGAGCCGATGGACTCAGGCCGTGCCTCAGTTTCCCCGCAGCCTCTCCCTGCCACTCCACAGGGATTTCTCCCCACATCCCAGGGGGTCATTTTGAGCCAGAAACCCCAAAACCTCCCACTTCCATCCTCCTCTGCATGGAAGAGGGCTGAACACTGCAGCAATTCTGTCAAAATTTGGGATTTTTTTGCAGTGAAAAGTGGCAGAGCACCAGCACCCACYACTGAACCCCAGGATGGGGGCACAGACCCACCCTAAAACAATGGGATGGGGCACAATCCCACCCCGTGACCCCGGGATGGGGGCACAGCCCCGCCCCGGGACCCTGGGATGGTGACAGTCCCCAGCCCCCCGGGATCCTCAGGGACACTCCCGCCTGGACACCGCAGCACCGCGGGGGTGCCCCCGAGTGCAGCGCCCACCTGGGGGCACCCCAAGCTCAGGCTCACCCAYGGAACGCGTTTTTAGGGCAGAATGCCGGGATTTTGGCTGTGGCAGCAGCGAGGGCATGGTCAGTGCCGCGAACGGGTGACGAATCGCAGCAAAGATTTGGGGTCTCTTGGGGTCTGGACCCCTCTGGGGAGCCCGGGGGATGCGTTCCGGCCGGAGGGGTGGGTGGGAGCCCCGCGGGGGTTCGGGGGGGCTGCAGGGGGAAGCGCAGCCGGACCGACCCCCTCTCCCCCCGCAGAGATCCGCGAAGCCTTCAAGGTGTTCGACCGCGATGGCAACGGCTTCATCTCCAAGCAGGAGCTGGGCACGGCCATGCGCTCCCTGGGCTACATGCCCAACGAGGTGGAGCTGGAGGTCATCATCCAGCGCCTCGACATGGACGGTACGAGCGGCACCCGGGGTGGGGACACAGGGGACGGGACAGGGAGGGGACCCCGCTTTGGAGAAACACACAATTCCGCCGTTTTTCCATCCCGCTGGACCCGGCATGGGATGGGGGATGAGCCTGACCCGGGCTCTGCCTCCYGCTRGAGCCTCCCGCTCATCATCTTCATCCTCATCATCTTCATCCTCATCATCATCATCCTCATCATCTTCATCCTCATCATCATCACTGCAGCTTTGTTTTGGGGGGATTTAAGGACCCCGAAGCACTTGTGGGGTCACTAAACCTGTCGGGACTGGATCCCGCACCCAGGGCTGGATCCCGCACCCAGGGCTGGATCCCGCACCCAGGGGTGGATCCCGCACCCAGGGCTGGATCCCGCACCCAGGGCTGGATCCCGCACCCAGGGGTGGATCCCGCACCCAGGGCTGGATCCCGCACCCGGGGATGGATCCCGCACCCGGGGATGGATCCCGCACCCGGGGATGGATCCCGCACCCAGGGATGGATCCCGCACCCTGCCTCGTGTCCTCAACACCCTCCACCCTCCAGTGGTGCCAATGTGACCCTCTCCCCGCCCCTCCTGCGCCCATCGGGACCTGAAAAAGGCTCCTGAATTTATTGTTTTTCCTCCCCATTTTAAAGCCTTTCTGGCAGCGCTGCCGAGGCGCCGCTCCCCTCATTGCTCATCGTTAGTGCTGCGCTGACAGCCCCGCCCCAGCGACCACCACTGCCAGGGGACACGGCCAGCACGGCCACCTCCAGGGTCACGGCCACCTCCAGGGTCACGGCCACCTCCAGGGTCATGGCCACCTCTGGGCCACAGCTGGAATTGGGGTCCCAGCTGGAACTGGGGTCCAACTGGTGTTCACACTCCTGGATGGTGCTGGGCTTCCCCAGCCAGTACTGTGGGGCTCCAGGTGACACTGGGTGTCCCCATGTCACACCAGAAGGGGACCCAAATGGCACTGGTGGTCCCCAGCTGACACTGGGGGTCCCTACATGGCATTGAGAGTCCCCATCCAGCACTGGAGACCCCTGCCAGTGTTGGGCATCCCAGCTGGTGTTGGGGRCCCCAGATTTTGTTGGGGGTTCCCAGCCAGTGTTGGGGTCCTTGGTTGGTTTTGGGGGTCCTCATTTGTGGTCCCCAAGTAGCCCTGGGGGGCCTCCAGATGGCATTGAGGCCCCACCTCCTGTTCAGGGTTCTGGATGGTGTTGGTTTCCCCAGCCAGCACTGGGAGGGGTCCCAGATCAGATTGTGGGGGGTTCCAGGTGGCATTAGGGTGTCCCCAGCCCCCAGRTGGCATTGGGGTCCTGGCTGGCACTGGGAACCCCATCCAGTGTTAGGAATCCTGGCCAAAGCAGGAGGTTCCCAGATGGTCTTGGGGTCCCCCGCCAGTTTTGGGGTTCTCTGACCCCTCATGTTGCCCCTTCTGCAAGGGGGGTGTCCCACGTGCCCCTGTGCCCACGCAGAGGGTGACGGCCACCCCTTCTTCCCGCAGGTGATGGGCAGGTGGATTTCGAGGAGTTTGTGACATTACTGGGACCCAAGCTCTCCACCTCGGGCATCCCGGAGAAGTTCCATGGCACCGACTTTGACACTGTCTTCTGGAAGGTAGGGACACTCCCCAAATCCCACGGGGACATAGGGACAACCCCAGACCCCATGGGAATGCAGGGACAACCACAGACCCCATGGGAATTCAAGGACACCCCCAGACCCCACAGGAATGGAGGGACATCCCCAGACCCCATGGGAATGCAAGGACACCCCCAGACCCCACAGGAATGGAGGGACACCCCCAGATCCCTCTCGGGGGCAGTGCCCCACAGCCTGCACTGACAGCACCGGGGACAGCTCAGTGTCAGGGCCAAGGCTGGGGTCAGGGTTAGGAGGAATCTCAAGGCTGGAATTGGGGTGAGGCTGAGGGTGAAGGGCAGGATCAGGCTCTGTGTTAGAGTCAAGGTTAGGGTAGGTTTAAGAGTCAGGATTAGGTTTAAGATGGGGGTTAGGATCAGGTTTAAGATCAGGCTCAGGCTCTAGCTTAATGTTAGTATAAGCCTTAGGGTCAGCACTGGTTTAAGGCTCAGGATTGGGGTTGGAGCCAGGGTTAGGATGAGTGTCAGGGTCTGGTTTAGGATTGGGGTCAGGATCAGGGTCAGAATCAGGTTCAGTACCAGGATTAGGATCAATATCAGGGTCACCAGCCTGAGGTTCTCTGCCCCTGCCAYGAACGGGCCCCATTTGGTGCCAGCACCCCCTGGCTGCCCCTGACTGTGCCACCAAGCCTTTCCCAGCCAAATCCCAAAGGATCCACCCCAAACACCACACCCAAGGGTGCTGGGATGCCCCAGAGCCCCCTGTGCCCGGTGTCACCCCGAGCCCCCGGTGCCCGCAGTGTGACATGCAGAAGCTGACGGTGGACGAGCTGAAGCGGCTGCTGTACGACACCTTCTGCGAGCACCTGTCCATGAAGGACATCGAGAACATCATCATGACCGAGGAGGAGAGCCACATGGGCACGGCCGAGGAGTGCCCCGTCGACGTGGAGAGTGAGTGCCGGGCACCGGGAGCGCCAAACATCCCAGGGGGATGCCAAATACCCCACGGGGATGCCAAACATCCCGCGGGAATGCTAAATACACCATGGGAATGCAAAATACCCCGGGGGAATGCCAAATATGCCGGGGGGATGCCAAATACCCCACGGGGATGCCAAACATCCCGCGGGAATGCTAAATACACCATGGGAATGCAAAATACCCCGGGGGAATGCCAAATATGCCGGGGGGATGCCAAATACCCCACGGGGATGCCAAACATCCCGCGGGAATGCTAAATACACCATGGGAATGCGAAATACCCCGGGGGAATGCCAAATATGCCGGGGGGATGCCAAATACCCCACGGGGATACCAAATACCCTGGGGAGATGCCAAACATCCCGCGGGAATGCGAAATACCCCAGGGGAATGCCAACTATCCCGGGGGAATGCCAAATACCCTGGTGGCCAAACATCCCGCGGGAATGCTAAATACGCCATGGGAATGCGAAATATCCCGGGAGAATGCCAATACCCCGCGGGAATGCCAAATACCCCGCGGGAATGCCAAACATCCCGGAGAAATGCCAGATACCCTGAGGGAATACCGAATACCCTGCAGGAATGCCAGATACCCTGTGGGCATACCGAATACCCTGCAGGAATGCCAAATACCCTGCGGGAATACCGAATACCCTGCGGGAATGCCAAATACCCCGCGGAAATAGCAAACGCCGCGGGATCGCCGAACAGCGCGGGCACGGCACGGGGTATCGGTGCTGCGGACAGGGTGTGTTTGGATTTGGGGTCGGGGTAACCCGCTGTTTGTCGCGCCCCCAGCCTGCTCCAGCCAGCAGATCCGCCAGACCTGCGTGCGGAAGAGCCTGATCTGCGCCTTCGCCATCGCCTTCATCATCAGCGTGATGCTCATCGCCGCCAACCAGGTGCTGCGCAGCGGGATGAAGTAACGGGGTCCCCCCGCCGCCGGGGGCCCCGCAGCGACAGCGAGGAGGATTCACCTATAAATATCTATAAATATCTCTATGTACATCCATCCGTGGCCCAGAGACGTGACCCCCCCGGGAGGGGGGCAGCCGAGGGGACAGAGCCGCGCCGGGGCCCCGCCGTGCCGGGAGCCGCCGTCGCTGCTGTTTGCGGAGCGCGGAGATTTTGGGAGCGACACCGACACACCGACCCCCCCTCGCCAGACACAAACCGACCCGTGAGTGCATGTGACGTGCATGGAGCCCCGTGAGCCCCCTCCCCGCGCCGGGCCGGCGGCCCCTCCCGCGGCGGATCCCGTCGGATTCTCCGATCTAGCGTTAGAGCTCGTATTTAGGATAAACCAAATCATCCCCTAAGCAATACACGCGCCTGAGATGGTTCCTAGAGCCGGGAGCGTTTGCATGGACTTGGCTGCCAAGGGCTGGATTTCACCCCCCCGACCCCCCGAAGCCCCTCCCCGTCCCCCCCGCCCCGGCCCCGTACCGTGCCTCGGTTTCCCCACCTGCCCGGTGCGGGGACGTTCCTGACCTCCTGCTTGATGCACTTTGAGCCCACCCCCCTTGGGAAGAGCCGGAGCGACCCCGAGGCTGGGGAGCCCCGCACGCCCCGGAACCCCCCAGCCTGTATGTAGCACCCACCTGGGCACGGACTGGTTCGGATTTGGGGCCGTTTCTCATTCTCCGGAGTTTTTTGGGGGTTTTGGGGTGGTGTTATTTATTTATTTATTTTTTTTTGTTCTTCCTGGTTGGTTGTTTCCGATCTGAAATAAAACTGGGATTTCTGAAGCGCTCTGGGCTGTGGGGGCTCCTGGAGATGCTGGGCTGGAGGGTGATGGGGTGGGGTGGTGGTGTAGGGCCCTGGGAGCACCCGTGGGTGCTGCTGACTCCTCCTGGCACTGGAGGTGGCACCGTTTTGGGGAGCTGTGACCTCCAGAACTTCGAGAACTGGAGCATCTCCAAACCTGGGGGCAGTGGGACCTGGTTCCTTGCCAGCAGCTCCACACCCCGCTCCATCCGTGGATCCTGCTGTGGATCCTTTCTCATGGATCCCAAAGGTTTCACTCCCCTCTCCACATCTCCCTGACATTTCACGCTGGCTTTGATGGATGTTTCGAGCCCGTCTGCCTCGGTGGGGACGACGCTCAGGCCAAGTCCCTTCCCACAAGTGCTTTCACCTGGATTAATTCCAGCAGGAACCAGGATCTGTCCGGGGCACTCAGAGAGGCTCTGTGGGGTCACCATTCCTGGGCCGAGCTGGGGATCCCATCCCAAGGCTGGTGTGGGGAGGGGAGCACCCTGTTACTCCTGATTTACACCACGGAGGGGCCTGGCCCCGGTGTGACCCCACCATGCTGAGGGACATCGGGAATGTCACGGCCTCACATCTGTGTGCGCTGCGGGAGCCCATTCCCACCGAACGGATCGCCCTCCCCGAGCCCCCAGCGATGCATTTTTAATGGCAAAGAGATTAAAGGAATAAATAAAACCAGGRGAGGTGCCTGGGGCTGGGAGAGAATTGGGCAAAGCTGCTGTTCCCCCTCACGGGCACTTCCCACAGGGAACGGGGCTGAAGGAGCCCATCCYGGGACATTGGGGTTGGGATATCCCCACCTTCACCTSCCTGGCTGATCCCATGGAGAAAACWCATTTCCTTGCACCACAAAGGGAATTCCCACCCCGCAGCACCACAGGGGGACACCCCATTTTCRGGATGCCAGGAGGAATCGGCAGCGTTTTATTGATTTGGGATTTGGGTGGGGCCTTTTTTTGATCTTCTCTTATTTATCAAACAAATTGAAGCGAACGTCCAAATGAGAAATGTAAATGGGAAGTGCTCYACGGCAATGAAATCATTGTGGCTGCCTCGCTAAGTGCGGGAGGCTCTGAATCCGTAATGAAATTTCATCCATCTCCCCCCAGAAAGTTTGGGTTTTTTTATGGACTGGCATTTCCAAAGGAGCCACGTGGCCCCGGAGACATGTGTGTATATATATATATTTTTAACTAGGTCTATTATAGACACTGTGAATAAACATAAGAGAAGAAAAAGAAAAAAAAAAAACCGAGGACAATTTAATTTGCCAGAAAATACAATAACGTAAAAGAAAAAAATTGGATAAAAGGAATAATGCCATCCCCCAAGCTCGGCGTTTCAAAGCTGCTCAATTAATTTTAATGGGAATCGGGAGCACGGATTTCTCGGGGCAGGTTTGGGATGGCAGCTCCCGATCCCGGGATGCAGGAGCGGGGTCCCAGCCGCGTCCCTACTCTGCCGCAGCGGGGACGGATCACTGCGGCTGCTGCGACAGCGATGCTCCGGGATAATTCAATTAAGGGATCGCCAGGAAAGGGAGAAACAAAGGGAATGTGCCGGGAGCTGGRAGGGAGCAGGATCGTACACGGCTTCCCCGGACAGGGGGACAACGGAGCCCAAGCGGCAGCAAACCAAGAGGGGGCTGCGATTCCAGGGAACTGTTTGGGATGGAAGGAGGAAGCTGGTAATGGTTGTTTCTCTCTCGTGCTGCAAGAAGTGTGGGATGGGCTCAGCTCCATCCCTGTCTTGATCCCCTTCCCATCCCTGTCCCTGTCCCAGTCTGTGTCTCCACCCCCAATCCTCAGTCCCACTCCCATCCTTTCCATTGGTCTCTATCTCCCTCCCCTCTCCCCATCCCCATCGCTGTCCCATCCTCATCCCTGACCACTCCCCGTCCCCATTCCCATGTTTATTTCCATCCCTGCCCCTTCTCCCCTCCCCCGGTCCCCATCCTTGACCATATCCCTACCCCCACTGCAATCCTTTTTTCCATCCCCCTCTGTCCTGTCCTCACCCCAATCCACATCCTGTCCCCATTCCCACTCCTATTCCCGTCCCCCCCTCTCCCAGCAAGAGCTGCCAGAGGACAYGGGCAGAGCCCAGCGGGGCTGGTTTGGCAGGGGCCCAGCAGTGGCTCATTTCCCTAAAAGCTTCCCGATAAATTACTCCAGCTCTTGCTCCAGCAAAGGCACTTTGGCTCGTGTCTCACTATCAGGCAGCAGCTCCTCACCCCCACCCCGGGGACAGCGAGTCCATCCCTGCAGCACCCTTGGGATCCAGGTACCAGAAATCCCACTGGGAGGGAAGGAGCCAGGAGCCCCATCCTGCTCTGGTGTCCYCCTCCTGCTGCCTTTTCCCAGCTGTGTCCCATCCCTGTGTCCCATCCCATGGCATTGTCACACCTCCTGGCATTCTCTGTACACACACCCCACAAACCCTGCAGTTTCCAGCCTCCTCCATCCCCTGGGAGTTGCACAGCTCCATGAATCTGTGACACACCACGAGCGATGCCAGGCTCGCCCTGTTGGCTGCACATCCCACAGGGTTTGTGGGAAAAGCCCGATCCATCGTCATGACTCCCACTGCCAGCCCCTCTCACTTCCCCTGGACAGGCTGGAGCTCAGCAGGGAATGCTCCTGCTCTTGCCTTTCAGGCTTGGTTGGGAACTTCTGCTCCCAGAGCAGCTTAACTCCTCGGGAGCATGGAAAGGTTGTGGCTGTTGTGTTTGACACCAGCATTTTAATTTTCAGTYGGGTTCCACAGCTCACCCAGGGAGCTCCGGCCTCCCAGCCAGAGACACATCTCCACCAAATCTAAGCTGGATCAGGGGAGTCGTGAAGTTTAGGAGTGTTGGGTAAAACAGCACAGAATCCTCCTGGATCAGCTGGAAAAGCCACCAGGATTGGAGAACATGGAGCAGGGACAGGCCTGGGGGCTGATGAGAGCACAGCTCCAGTCACAGCTGAAGAACAGGGAGGGATTTCGATGTTGGTTGGGAAAAAAATCTGTGGAAGAGATGGGAGTGGGAGCTCCTGGATCTGTCTGTGCCGTGAGGTGTCCGTGAGTGTGTCCAGGCTGCTGCCACCACTGGAGCAGCCACTGTCCTCTGCTGTCACTGGGAGGGGAGCTGGGGCACAGGGATGTACATCCAAGCTTGGAGAGAGCAGGCACAGCTCCCACTCTGGAGTATCCCACAGCCCCTGGGGGCTCCCCTTCCCATCTCTGTGGGGGCAGGGTCCCCGTGCTCCAGGGACTCCCACCCACTCCCAAAGAGGAGCCACACGGGTGCTCCTGGTTCTCCACCTGTGCTGCCCGTGGGAGTGAGGACAGGACACGGCACTGAGCCCAAGCCCTGTGCTCCTGCTCTCCAGCAAGCCTGGAATGATAAAAGCACTCCTTAGCTGGACCTAGAGCTCCTCCAGGCTCCAGCCAAGGCTGCTGTCACATGCAGTCCCTGCTCCTGTCAGGGCTGTGTCCCAGGAKGGAGCTGTCACATCCCGAGGAGGGAGCCCGGCCCTGCTGGAGCGATCCAGGCAGGATTTGGCCACGGGCAGTTGGCTCCTGCCCGGGCTCTTCATGAATCTGGACCCACCAMCTCCCTGCCCAGCCAAACCTGGAATGCCCTGGCAGCGGGCACAGCCCTCCTGGACAAACCTGCTGTTGGAGAGAATGTTGCTGAACAGCATCCCCCCTGGAGCTGGAGCACCCACTCCCCTTCCTGGGAAAGCCAACGGCCACCCTTTCCTGGCAAGGAGAGACACCTCAAATGCTCACTGTGGAGAAACCTCAGGATGTTTTTCCTCCTTGCCCCTCGCCCCAGGCACAGCAGGGAAGACCCCAGGTCCTCCATTGGGAGCTCCAGCACCCGGAGCCAGGCAGGGTCACACCCTGAATCGATCAGAAACAATCACAGCACAAACACCCGAGGAAACGGAACAACGGCTGTAAAAGCCTGGTTACAGCTCCCTATTCCAGCAGGGACTGAAATGCAGGCAGAGCAGACAGCAGTGAGCTGAGGGCACAGATCCCACCCTGGGAAATGGGGAATGATTGCTCCAGGTGACAACAGCCCTGCACAGATCCTGCTGCAGAGGCAGGGACAGAGGCACAGGAACGGCTCAGCCCCCGTGAGGCTGCCAGGTGAGCAGAACATGGCACACACAGACTGCAACAGGCAGGAGAAGGGTTTATTGATAGAAAAGTGGGTATAAATAAATCATCCTGGCCCCTTCCCGGAGCGCAGGCACAAAGACAGCCCCAGGCAGGCTCCAGAGGTGCCCCTGCCTCAGCCCCACTGCAGGTTGGGGGGCACYGGCCACCCCCCGGGCGGGGGAGCCTGCAGGGAGGGGGGCAGCTCCTGCACTGGTGGCCAGCCCGGAGGGTACTGGAACGGTGCTGGTTTCTCGGGTAGAGCACTGTGAGGGAGATGGAAAGGGATGAGGTGAGCCAGAGATCTCAGCCTGACACCAAGGCCGTGCTGGGCCATCCTGTGCCCCCTCCAGCAGCCCCCAGAGAGGAGGGGGCTGGCAGAGGAGGSTTTTGGTTATCACCAAACAGGTTCATTCACCCTCCCAATCCCAAACCCAGCACCAGAATGGTTGTGTGACCATTCCCAGCCCATCCAAGCAGCCTGTGCTTCCTAATGCACTGTGTGCCAGTGCAAACCCGGGTGAGAATGCTGAGTGAGGGGGTCTGGGGTGGGGAGCAGCACAGCCCCCCAAGAGGGTGTGTTGGGAGCAGGGCTGGTCCCAGCCCCTCCATCCCCACTCCTCACACAGCTGAGCAGGGAGAAGAACCAACAAAAGGAGCAGATGTTTCTTTGCGAGCAGCCCGAATCCTGAGCCAGCCGTGCACTTCCCAAAGAACAAGGACCCCTCGGAAACGGAGGAGCTGCCAAAGCAGYGGGTGTGCTCAGCAGAGGACCCTTCAGCACGGGAGAGGCTTCTCCCCGCCCCATGGCCTGGGAATCACTCTGCCCTGCCCCTC